ATATAGTTGAATAAATTTTACATTCATGAAAGATTTCATGATTTTGATTTCTTTACATACATTTTGTTTCTACATCAAATTTAGTGTGACTCTCGATGTACATTCAGTATTAATACATTCAGTATTAATTATTACTGACAAATATACTGTCCTGCTTAGAAGCCAGAAGCACACTGCCACAACCCAGAAAACTTCCTACAATGCTCACTTCTGGTCCTGGTGGTCCAAAGGAAGGTGGGACACCATAGAGATAATAGCATCACTCCCTGGAAACACAGCTACAGTTTAAAAGCTACAAGCTGGTGTTCAGGCCCCCAACATTATAAGCCACCCTCTTCAGAGTCTTGTCACATTCAGAGTCAAACGAATAAAGCATTCAGATTTCTGCTGCCAACCCTTAGTAATCCTGCCACGCTGCTCACACATCACCCTGTTACTCTCCCCAAAGGCCCCCAGACATAGGCCTCCTCTTGTGTCTGAATATGTTTTCCTTTGTGCTGGATGACACAAAGTGACCCAGGAACTTCTAAAACAGAAAGTATTTTCCTCTCTAAGCAACAAGACAAGAGCCCAGGGTTTGGTGCATATTGGCTTCTACTGCTGGGCTCCTGGGACCTCAGGTTCTCTTCCCATGAGGATAATATCTTCTCTGCCTCCTGTATCTACTGCAAGGAGGAGGAGGAGGAAAAGGAAGAGGAGGAGGCCCATGAAAACAATACAGGAACAAGAACTGTCTTCTTCATATTGAAGGTACTGGCTGGCGCAGAGCATTACTTCCACACTCCCACAAGTAAGTACACAGGCCTTTGGGTCAATCACTCTTTCCCTGTCCATCTTCTAAAATCCTCATTTCCCTGGGAAACGAAATCCAAATGCTGTCTTTGCTCTTTTCCTCAGGTGTCAGCCTCTCATCAATGGGAGTCACGGGGACTGGAATTACAACCGCCTAACTTAACTTTGCTTACACCTATGGCCCCAAATAGGACGCTGTAGTTCACCAAACTTCCACCCCAACACCCTTGTAAAACACACACTCCTGACCCCAGCTGGAATAGAAGCTATACTCGATCCTAACTCTTAAAAACTGTCGCCACCTTGTGGTCAAAAGCTGCTGCGTATTTTTTTGTTTGTTTGCTTGCTTTTTTTGGAAAGGATCTTTTGACCTTTTCCAATGAGAAGTAAAACAGACAATAAGTAGAGCCAGAGCCTGGCAAAAATGAACATCCCATTAACATACTCTGGCGACTATTAGTTATAGAAAGTGGCGTGTTTACAGGAGCTGCGGGGGCTGAATCGGGCTGCTGGGATTTTAGGCTTGGATTCAAACAAGAAGACTACATATATCTGCTTGCAGGCTGAAGTGCTGTTTTGATATAATCCCTACCATGTATTGAAATATTATTGATACAGCATAGTGAGGATGGTGACATTTAACTAAATACATCCACCAACAGATGTTGAATACCTGCCCGAGATCAGGCTGCTGAAGGGAAGGAAATCTGTTCTCTGAGACTATGTAACAAAGGAAGGGTTTGGAAAGGGTGTCCGATGCTCAAGACAGCCTCCCCTAGAGCATGACTTAGAGTTGAAACCAAGACCGCCCAGAAGGTGAGGAGTGGGGAGGCAAGTGTTCACAGCCTATGGGAGGAGGACCACATTGGTGCAGCCAAGATGGTTCCCATGGCTATAGAATTGGAAAGTGGAGGTTATAAGCTAATGCTGGAAGGGCCTGTAATGCAGCCAGATAGAAAGGCACAGAGCACATTAAGGATCGCAACCTTTCTTTCCTTTAAATCATATTATTCATGATACCATGTACACATACTATGGTATCATGAATAATATGGTTTTTTTTTTTAAAAAAAAAACTCTTTAGAGTCTGTTCTTGGGATAACGAGACTGAATCAGAGAATTAAACTTGACCTCTGCAAACTCATGATGAAACTCAATGGATCTCCAATCAGGCTAAAAAAGGGGGAGGGAGAATTGGCTTGGTCTTATTCAGAAATAATGCAGAATGAATTCATGTTTTGTGAACCCCTCTTAACTGAAATTTTTAATGAACCAAGCAACTTCTGGACCAAGCTGTCCTTGGAAGACTTCTACAGTTACAAAGATGAATGAATAGCAGGGATAGTTACTGGTTATTTATATGTTAATACAGTGAATATTCTAAAAGTCAGTCTTAACTCTCCCACTTAATAGACCAAAGAACAGTTGGATAGGATCTCACTTCTCTTAAGTTTAACCTAGTGTTATGGAATGTTTTGATTGCACTGTGACACTCTGAGACTGTTAAATAAATAACAGTTAATAAAGTTTACCCTGAATCAGGGGGACAGAGCCAGAGACTAGCTGACTGAAATTAGCCATGGAGACACACAGGAAGGAAAGGATGGACGAGAGCCTGAGCTTCCTTTTGGTTCTGGGATGAGGGAAGAGACATGTCTCCTGCAGTGACTCCAACCAAAAAAGCAAGATCAGCTAGTTGCTACTCAACTTCTCTGAGCTAGCAGGTTTTCACCCCAGTCTTTGACTCCTAAGTCTTATTGATAAATACAACGATAGATGTGGCACTGGCAACCCTATCAAGCTGTGGCCTGAGTGGCTGGTGGGACATGGACTGCGCTCTGTGGGGCCACTGACGATAATTAAAGTATCAGTAGATTCATGTGCAGCCACTAAGCTTACAGAAAAACATCAACCTAGGATCTAGGTTGACCATTTTTATTGCTGTCACATGACCTGATCTCACTCTCAAATCTGTCTCTTCCAATATGCTCTATCCCAGCATCCTCCACCACTGGCTCATCTGCATTCTTCATCTGTTGTATCTTAACACCAAACCTGTCCAATCAACTCCCATAAAAAGTCCTTCCGACTGTCCCTTTCCAGGTTTACAGGTTCTTATTTTAGGTATGAACCACTGCACCGGCTTCCTGTTACCAATTCCTGACAGACAGCACCGTCATTCAGCTCCAACCTGTTCTTCCCATTCTGTTTTGCTTCCAGCACACCCTCACTCCTATAGGTGCTCATTTCTCCATCAGTCCTTCTCAGCATCCATAATGGACTTTTTTTCAACATGTGAAACAGTGATGTCCTTTAGGAGCCTGTTTGTGCTCTGCTATCACAGAGTACCCTAGCCTAGGAGCTGAAAGCCCAAGGACAAGGCACTGGTGCAGTGATGTCTGAGTCCAGGATGATGCCCCTTGCTCTGTCCTCACACGTCTATGAGCAAACCCAGAGCAAGCCCGCCCCCTCAAGCCTCTTTTTTATTTTAGTCTCATTAACCATTCATGAAGGCAGAATCCCCCAGTTCAAGATCTCCCCAAAGGCCACTGCGGGGAGGGGGCTACTCTTGAAATTGTCAAAGGGGCAGAAGTAGTCAAACCATAGCCGCGCTGTATGGGTTACTTCTTCCAGCTCTTTCCTGGGACAGGGAGGCTGTCATAGCCTTTCCTTATTGCTTCAACTGTATCCACGTACAGCTAGCCACTGAGTTACAACTCTCATACTTCATACTAGTTTTACAACTGGCTCATCATTTCTGGCTAAGTAACAAAAAAAGCATTCCCAAATTCAGTTAGAGGCCTTCAACTAGATCTGCACCTTCTAATACTCAAGCTCAAATCTATTCCTACATGCAATGCTCTGTTATCAACTACCAATCTAAAATAGAGACGTTACCATCCACCCCCCTCCTTGCCTTTACAGGCCAAGCACATCTTATTCTTTAACCTCAAAGGCCCCATTAGTAACATGATCTTTCTAAGTCATCTGCACCCAATCCAGGTGCCTGGAAGAATAGTCATTCAAGAACGTCAATCTGTATTCTCATTTGTGAAATATTTCAAGCCTGCTGTAGTTGTGAAAGACATGTGCAAGGATGAGGCAGGGGGATGGTGACTTGAGGTCAGCCTAGGCTATATTCAAGAAGCAGCTATCAGAAATACTGCAGGAGCTTGAGAGATGGCTCAGGGGTTAAGAGTGCTGGCTGTTCTTTCAGAGGTCCTGAGTTCAACTCCCGGCAACCACATGGTGGCTCACAACCATCTGTAATAAAATCTGATGCCCTCTTTTGGCCTACAAGGATACATGCAGACAGAATACTGTGTACATAATAAGTTAAAAAAAAAACTCCTTTAATATTATCACATATGGCTTGTATGTTGTTGCATACAAAGTCCTTTGTGGTTTAAATCTTTCACACATCTCTACCTTCAAACTATTTGCATTCTCAATCCCCAAAACAGCTGTCTATACACAGCTTCATAAGCAAGGACCTTTCACTGGTATGCTTTTATCCGAAATCCTCTTCTTGCCTACTACCTGGAAACTAAGACGACTGTATGTAGCTACTGCCTCCCCTCCAAGTCTTCATAAGCAGCAGCATCTTTACACCAGCTGGTTGGACCACAGTGGTGCAGGTGGGAGTCAGGACAGTCTCATGGTCCATCCAGAACACTTGGCTCCATCTCTCCTTTCAGGTGCTGCCCACCATGCCAAGTCTTTGGCACTGAAACTGATTCTCCTAACTAGTCCAGATCCCAGACCAAGCTCTAGCAATCTCAAAGACAGACCTGCCTTACAAAGCCAAGCCCTGGCAAAGTCCCTTTTCCTGAAGAAAAACATTGGCTCAGACACTGGAATCCATGGTTTCCCACCTCCAACAGGTTCTCCCTGGGCCCCCTCACTTGACAGTATTCAGCTTCCTGGTTGTCAGTGTTTACTGCCTACAGCACGCAAAGTAGCAAGCTCTTGAGGCTGCTGGATGGCGGAAGGTCCAGTATGATTAAGCATACCAACAGAGCTGGGCAGCTTGTCTTTCAGGCTCTATGTTAATTAATTTCCTAGCATGGTGGATGCTATTCTATCCTCCTAATTCTTAAGAATTTCAGAGTGGATGAAGTGGGGTGCTGAAGTGTGGACCATAAAGGAAAAAAAAACAAAAGTACCCATTGCACTCATTATCCTTAATCAATGAGACATACACTTGCTTATTTTCATTTTCCTTTATTCTGTACAAGAAGCTTTAGTATTCTAAGATAGGAACACTCATTTGCACATCCCTCATATATATTTTACATCTTGTTATTTATATAAAGGTACTATTAACACACACAGTTCTAATTCCTTACAATGTATTTGTCAAGCAACAAGGTGGCAATGCGTCGCAGCACTAGACAGAAGGGCTCCTGTAAGAAACCACAGCAGCAGTGTTTGGTGAATGGTTATGCATAGAACTGGCATGGAGGTTAATTTTAGATGGTCCTCAGCAGGTAGCATGTGCTCTGACAAATGGAGATGCAGCTTCTACTAATACAAGGTAAAAATGTAACTTGTTAGAAGTTTCTAACTTAGGGACTCTTTAACAACAGACAATACAAAGTACTTTGATTCTAGATTATATAACCCAAAGCCATTCTACAGTTCCCTAAGCTTTTCCAAGCCCAGAGAATTGCCCATTAGCTTTATGAAGTCAACTTCAAATAAAAAAGCATTTAGTTTGTCAGTCAAGATCTGCAATTACACTGGTTACCAGTCACAATCAGATACCTTCTGAGGAAAATAGACTGTACTATGGACTCAGAATAACTTCAAACATCGTTCCTCTTAACATGAAACGTACTGCTTTCCATTTCTAGATGTCAGCAATACATACTCTAAACTTTTAGCAAAATACCATTTTGAAATGGTTAAGTCTAATCTAAACAAAGAGGTCAAGATATCCATGAAATAACAATCCAGTATCTACTTCCACTGTGAGAAGCCATTCAGTTCAAAAGCGATCTTCAGATGTGTATTTAATGCCTCAGCTAACTTTTATACAAATCTTTAGTGTTTTTGCTTGAATCTTGGTTTAAATCTTGGTTTAAATCTGAGCCGTGCTACCTACTACATGGGCAATGTGCACGTGCGCGCGCACAAACACACACACACACACACACACACACACATCTCTTCAGAGGCAAACCACAAATTTGGGAAGGGCTGGCTGCGAATGAACTACAACAATCTACCTCAGTCCTCAAGTTTCTAATCGATCTTCAAAGAGATGATGCCATCAGGCAAGACTCTAGTATTTGTATGTTGTGTCTTTAAATTTTGAAACTAAGCACACCCCTTGCACTGAGAACCTGAGGGTGCAGGTGTGGCAGTTATAACAGCTACAAAAGCACTTCACCAGGAAACAGGGCAGAAACCCACAGCACACGCGAACCCTGGAGGGAAAATAGTTTCTCTTCTCTCCCTTGGTGGGGTAAAGGAGAGCCACGAAAGCAATTTTACACAAAGCACTATGCCTTAGACTCTTCATACTGGCATCCAAAATGTCTTTACCTTTTTTATGTTCATACACAAAAGTATGAGCTGTTACACCATAAGGTATTATTTCTCAGGTCAAGCACAGTTTTTGTTAAAGTTTTATAAGATATGCTGGAAACATAAATACCAATAAATAATGCCCTATATGTATCTTTACAGAGACTAGTTTAGGCCTGGGTATAAACTGGACAGTCGGGGGTGGAGGGGATAACATCAGCCACCATTCTTTAATACTGACACAAGCTCACCTGCAGCTTAAAGTTTTTCCTATTGCTATATAAACCTTAGATACCCACTGCAAAACATAAGGAAAAAAAAAAAGAAAAAAAGAAAAAGAAAACCTGGAGTTCAAAACATTAGATGGAAAAAAAAACCCTAATGTAAACAACCTCCGGATACCAAGATGCCTTGGGGCATCTTGACCCGTTTAGTGATATTTGGTTAGTATAAGAATTATTTAAAAATCAATGCTAGAAACAATGTCACTGTTCTTTATGCCTTCTGGTTACAATATTTATGCCCTATAAAGAACAGGACAGATGCCCACTCTCGGCTATTGGGCATCTTCCCCAGAAAATGTATACATGAAGGTTTTCCTCTAAACTTTCCTTCCAGTGTACCCAAAGGGCTAGGATGTCTACAAACAGTTCTTGAGGAAGTCAGTGTGGGGCAGTGCCAGTAGACAAAATCTGCCAGTATGAAGAATGAGGTATCAAACAAGATTAAACACAGCCCTGAAGGACAGGGACCAGGAAAGGAACTTGGCTTTGCAGTTCATTTCTGTCTAGAGCAGACAACACTAGAAGGTTCAGTAATCCATCTCTCTTCAGTAAACAGTCCAAAGTTCAGTTAAAACAAACATGGACCCCTGGCAAGAGGCATTTTACACAGGTAAGCAGGTTTTTTTTCAACCACTACTCTTTCAAGCCCTAGTGCTCTTTGAGGTCTGAAATATATTCTCCACAACACAAGGCCAGAACATCGAGTCCCCATATAATCGGGGGACCAATCTCACTCTCCCTAAGGGAGAAGACAGTTCTTAGATTCCTAACTACAACTCTAAAACCCCCAATAGGTTTACCCCAAAAGTATTTCATAGAAAATAACTGTTAACACTGTACGACTTATAATTAAGTTCTCCAATAAATAACTGCTATCTTGAAAAGTAAATGTACAAATTATCACTTTTACTTAATCTAGGTGACCATCAATGGTTAAGATGCACCATATATAGCTCTAAGAAAAAACCCTGCCCATTAAACTAGGCCATATGCCTTGTATCACAGAAAAACATTTTATTTTGTATTTATCCCATGTTCTAAAATAGTTTTATCGCATAAATCTTGTGCCTATGTAAAGAATGTATGAAATAGACTGGTTAAGTTATAACTGTAACTTCACATTCCAAGTCCCCTTCTTCCAAACCACTTCAATTAGTCATGGGGATCTGTGTTTTCCCACACATGTGTCAAGAGGACCAGCAATTCGGCATTTCCTGATGGGACGCTTACCACTACCTTCTATCTAATACCAGCAGGCAGCTCTGAAGAACACAGTTGATGTCTTAACAGCAGTCCTCTCCATGAAGTGGCCATATCAGTCTCTTCTTGCTTTGAATTTTGTTAGATCATTTCTGAGGATTTTGGCAATTTCTCCAGCTTTCAACTACAAGTGCTTGGCATGAAGACAGGCAACTGATTTGTAAGCATCTCAATGACAAAATGTAGCGTATCTTCACCAACTTGTGGCTATCTTCCTCTCTTAAGTCGTGTAAAAGCATTTTGTTGTTCCTTTGCAAGGAAACATTGACTTGTGATCATTTCTCCAGTGGCAAATGTTGGCATCAACAACATCAAACACACTCCACTGCTGTCTCCATGGTTTTCTGCATATATAATAGCCTTCCATTTAATGCTGATACGTGGTACTTTTTGAAGACATTTTAAAAATGCCAATTAAACCTGACATATTTGACCAACAAAAATACACATGAGCTGAGGTAATGACACTATAACAAGATGCAAATTCACATATGTATGAGCTAGGATAATGACAAGACTACCACCTGGTTGACAGTAATGAGACAGGTTCCAATTTATGACAAGTTAAAAGGTCAAGAAAGGGTTACATTTTATGACTGATGACATGTTTTTTCAAGCCTGAAATGTTTACAGATTTACACCAGTGGGGGGGGGGAAGAAGCCAAAAAGTAAGAGTGTTAAGTAGACCCATAAAGCAAAATATCTAAGATGAAATCTGTAACAGTACAATTTGGTTTAAATTCCCTTTATTTCTATATGGCTTACGTGTAAATCTTTTTTTTTTTTTTTTTTTTGAATTGGATATAAATCCAACTGCAAATGTTCCTTGGTCGTAATAACTTTCAAAGCCAGGTCACTAAGGACAGAGGCTCATAACTGCCTTAGACCATGTTCTAGTAGGGCGGGTGTCTGGTCAGTGACCTTCTTCAGCAGGCGCCCTTCTCTGGCGAGCAGATCTGACCCTGTGTGGTGAAGCTGAAGGGTCCTCTTCTGTTTCAGACCCAGAAGGATCATGATCTCCTTCCTGGGATCCTGTGTCTCCCACCAGTTCCCGTAGAAACTTGAATTTAGATAAAAATAGATGCCATACAAAATACCAACCTAAAGAAAGACAAAAACGTTGAGAAGCATCATTACACCATTTCAACTCAGAACACTACAATAAACTGTAAGGTCTATTACAAAGCAGTATGTATACTACAGTGTGCACTCATACATAGAACAAACACAAGGCACTTACGATGTGTGAGGCATAAGGATAGATTCTAGGATCATACAGGAGGACAAGTTTCTGATTTCATGGAATTTCGAACCCAGCATTAACATTAAATTGATGCAGGGTATGGTTGCACATATACTCTTAGGGGACTGAAGCAGGTGGATGGCAAGTTCAAGGCTAGCCTGGGCTACATGGTAAGAGTCCAGTCTTAAATGTCAACCTTCCATACAAAACTTATAAGATTGGGTCTAAGTAAGAGTGCTAACTGTATTAAGATCAATTTTGAGAGTATTTTTGTGGAAAAGAAAGATACTTGACTAATGAATGGACCTGTTTGTACCTCAGTTCCACCCAGGGTGAGCCATCAGGTCAGAATGAAAAGATGTTAAGCAGCAGGAGTCAACTGGGCCACAGTTTACAAAAAATGTCACAGAAAACATTTCTGTCAGTACATGACAGAAAAATAAAGCCTGTGTGAACCAACAATGTAAGTCCAAGATTTTTAGACGACATTTTTTACATCAAATCCTTTAAGGAAAAAACATCACTCAATAATGGATGGGTCAACTAAAGCAAACCCCGCAGAACACCTGAGAAGGCAGGTGAAGATAGCCATGGTCCTGGTGTTTCCTGCCACTGTTTCCTTCACACGGTTACTCAGAAAGGCCAGCAGGCCATAGCAGTTCTGGTGACATGCCCTTCAGGAAAACAAAGCCCAATGGCTTTTCCAACCCTGTGTGAAAAACTAGGTCATGGTAATGGCAACCACCTAGGGGCAGTGTTTTATTTATCTTGTTCTCTCCAGTCACTTGGGAAAATGAGCTCAACACTCACTTCTTACCGCAAAAAGACTAACTTGAGAGATGTCCTCTATTTCTTGGGCTTGTTGTCTCTTAAGACTGAATAAATACTGCATGTTAACCAAACCCTGACTATGTCAACTATGTGCATAAATGGCAAAGCTCTGCAAAATAACATTTTAATGAAATTCCAAATTAACATGCTCAGCTTTCACCCAAAATTCTCTGCTAAACAGGTACAACTGATGGGAGATGTCATTTTGTAAATATGTTTCTCATACTGGTTAATGAATAAAGCACTGTTGGCCAACAGGGAAGCAAGACAGGCAGGACTAGGAGACAAGGAGGAAAGAGGAAGGAATGAGGAGGAGTCAAGATGGAGAGTCTGGAGAGCGCAGGACGTCAGCCAGCTCTCCAGTAAGATGAAAACAGGTGGAAATACATAGATCAACAGAAATGGGTTAATACTTAAGACAGAGTTAGCCGATAAGAAACTAGTACCTGGCCAACAGCATTATATCAAATACAGAATCTCTGAGTCTCTGTGTGTTAATTGGGGCAGGTGCAGCGGCGGGACCAGACCAGCAGCGGGAGGAAAAAACATACTCCTTTACATACAGCCTTGGAGGAAAAACCCCCATGGGATGGGGAACGCTTCTGACCTGAGGCTCACAAAGCTAAAGCTGCAGCTGCACCTTTAGGGCTGGGGGAGGAGCCACCTAGAGGGCTGAGGTGTCTGTTACTTAACAAGTGTTCCATAAACCACTCAACTGACATGAATTCAAATGCTAGCAGGTCAGGGAAATCTGAGTTAACTTTTTTTTCAAATTATGTTTTTACAGATATGACTCACATAGCATAAAGTTTATCCATTTGGAATATACAACTTAACAGCTTCTGGAATATTCCTAAGGTTGTACAGTGAACACTCCTGAACTCGCAGGCATTTGCCACAATTCTAAGAGACTCCTCTAGAGCCATTCATAGCTGGGGAAGGATTTCTGCTGACAGAGAGCCTATCTAGCTGTATAGAGTCCTGGGTTTAATCCCGGCACCACATAATACCAGGCATAGTGTGGTGTTATGCACCTATGATCCAAACCCTTGCAGTGGAAGCAGGGGGATCAGAAATTGAAGGTAACGTTTACTATATAGTGAGTCTGAGATAGCTACATGGACTACATGAGACTTTTAAAAACGAAAAAGCAATCCTGGTACTCTGTTAAGAATCTCCCAGCATTGCTGGAGGTGCTGACTCACACCTTTAAGCCCATCACTAGAGAGGCAGACCTCTGTGTGTTCAAGGCCAGCCTGGTCTACACAGCAAGCTCCAGGTCAGCTGGGGCTACAACAGTGAGATCCTATCCAAAAAAAAGAAAAAAGAAAAAGAAAATCTATAAAGCAAAAAGCTGAGGATGACAACAGTTGTCAAAGGCTTTAGATATAAGGACTTTCCATTATATTCTATACCCTCTTCCTCCCAAATTGCACTGCCAGTGACAACAACAATTTAAAAAATGTGTCAGTGTCAGAACCACAGTCAGAAGGTAGCATTTGGCATGGCCAATAGCAGCCATGCACCAGTCCCCTTCCAGCTAGCAGTCACTAATGATTATTACATCACCATTGACTTACCACCATGAACATGCTCATAAATGGAATCAGTATCTGGCCTTTGTGTCTGGCTTCATTTTCAAGGTCTATCCTTGTTGGCAACTGCATTATGTACATCCCACTAGAAACATGAGTTACCATTTCTCTACCAACTCCATCGACACAACTCTTCTTATTGCCAGTCTTATATGCAGTCAACCCACCAAATATGAAATGGCACACTACAGTGGCGCTTGATCTACATAACTAATAACATGCTTCCATTTTAATTTTTTAACTGTTCATCAACTTTTTTGTTTTGGTTTGGTTTTTGTTTTATTGTTTGTTTAATTGTGAGCTGTAAGCTCTTGTGTGTTCTAGATAGTAGATGCTTTCCCCCCATCCCATCCAGTGTCTTTTCACTATTTTTGGAATGATTTTGAAGAATGATGTTTAGTGCTGATGAGACCCAATAAATCACGTTAACTGGGCTGCCTGGACTGTTGGGTATCACATTGAGAAAACTACTGGGTGAGTCAAGATTGTAAAATTTACACCTGTTACTCTTCTAAGAGTTTTACAAATTTTAACACATAAGTCTTTGGTCTATTATTAATTTTGACAACAGAGTTGCATCCAGATTCATTCACTAGCATATGAATATCAAGTTATATCATTTATTGAAAGAACTATTCTTCTCTTGGAAACTTGGTCAAAAACCAGTCATAAATAGCAATTTTCTTCTCGACTTTTAATCACTATATATATGCCAATCTTATCCTGACACACACTATCTGAACTACAGTAGCTTTGCATTACATTTTGAAGCCATGAAGTGTATGTATGTCCACCAACTGTATTCTTTCCCTAGATTGTTTTGACTTCCTGGGCCCCCTGCATGTCTAGGGGAATCTTAAGAGTCAGCTAATCAGTGCACTGAGTCTGTATGTCAAACTGTGCTGGTTCTGTAATGTTATTCTGTTCAACTAAAATTTCCCACAATGAGCACATATGGTGACATGTGTGTACGCATGTGTGTGCATGTGTGTATGGAGGCCAGAAGTCGAAGCCAGTGTCTTCTCCTATTGTTCAGGAATTACAGATATGCACTACCACTCCCTGCTTTGTTATGTGGTACTGGGAATCTTAACTCAGAAATTTCTAACATAAGTGTAAATTTACTATCAGGAAATTCGTATAATTCACTTCAAAGAGAACTCTTTGCATCCTTAAAAACAAATATGCTATAAAGAATATTTGGAAGAGATGGGTACCAACATTTCTCTGACTGAAAAGCACTACAGGGGTTGCGGAGGGATTGAGTGAGGGCTGGTGGAAAGCCTGGAACTTGAAGTGTAGTCCAGGCTGGACTTCTACTTGGGACAATTCTGATGTGTGAGCCTTCCAAGTGAAATTAGAGACATGCTATCACATCCAGCTCATAGACAAATCAACTAATTAAAGCTTAACTAAGAAGCTAGGCTTGGTGTTGCCTTGTCATACTTGAGAGGTGAGCTGGAAGCAGGAGAATCCTAAATTCCAGGCTAGCCTGGGCTACAGCAAGACCCTGCACCAACACAAAGTAACCAAAACCTTCCCTGAGTCCTTCAGAGTGTTAACACGTTATCTCCAGTAAATGTCTACACTGCAAGAGGCTCCACTGCTTGAGGTGGAGGCAAGGTGGGGGCAGAGGAGGATGGGAGGCACTGTAAACATAAGGCACACTCAAAACAACCCGATGTAATGACCCTACTTAAAGACGCCCGGTTGCAGCAATTCCTAAATGGTATTACTCAAACTGATATGCTAGGGAGTTCTCAGACACTAAGATTCTCAGGGGTCCGTCCCACAAACCCCAAATCAATCTAGAAGCTGTTCTTATTCGTTTTTTGTTTGGTTGGTTTTTTTTCCCTATTGTTTTTTGTTTGTTTTGCTTTGCTTTGTTTTGTTTGTTTTTTTGAGACAAAATCTCACTATGTAGCTCTGCCTGTCTTGTAACCCTTGTAGACCAAGCTGCCCTCAAACTCAGAGGTTCATCTGCCTCTGCCTCGAGAGTGCTGGGATTAAAGGTGTGCATCACCATGCCTGGCTATGCCTACTCATTTGAAGTTCCATCGATCACTCTAATGTTCTTGCAAGTTTGGAAAACACAGAAATGGCTGTCAAAAAGTGGATCAGTCAGACTGGTCAAGGAAAAGGAGAAGGGAGAATCATGGCTGAATGCCCACAGGGAAGAAGTGAAGGAGCAGCTGACCAGAAACTGCCTCAGGACACTCCATTTCCATCCAAAGCCACATTAGTATTCATTAATGAGACGTGATGGTCACATAAGGAAAATGTTCTGGCTAGTTTTATGTTAACTCAACATAAACTAGAGGTATTTAGGAAGAGGGAACCTCAACACAGAGAAAATGCCCCACCAGACTGGCCTGTGGGCAAGCCTGATTGATAATTGATGTGGGAAAGGCCCACTCACTATGGGCAGCGCC